CTCCCCAGGAAGAGCGCCTGGGCTTTCAGGCCTTTGTGCAGGACCTGGACTCAAGCACGCCCGCTTCTCTCCTTTGTCTGCCCTTCGCCACAGGGGTTTTAGTACTTGTCCTTCACTCAGGGAGGCCGGATTCTCCTGGGCGTCTGAGTTACCTTTCAGGACCTCAGCCTCAGGAGGGTGCATCTGTTTTGGAAAACTTCCTTGGCCCAGTTGATGTTCCTTACCCCCTCAAACAGCACAGTCGGGACCCAACCCCACAAGCACTTCCCTGTAGTTCCTTTGGGGTGGCCTTCCCCCCGCCCCAAGTGACTTCTCTAGCCCATTATCTTGTCATTGAACCCTGCTTGGTGGTTTGTGGGTAGGCGGGAGGGCAGAGGCAGATCGTGAGGGCACGTGAATTGCAAGGCAGGAGCTTCCGCATCCTCTTCAGGCAAGAGGGCAGGGTAGCGCTGAACAAGGGGCTATGGCAAGAGGACGGGCCATGTCTGTAGTCTGTCTCCAAGGTTCAGGGGAGTCTAGGGCTTCAGGATTCTAGAGTACATCCTTTATGGCGGACTCCCAGTTCCCACCCACGATCCGAGGACCAGAGGTCTGGAATGAGCATGACAGACATGTTCGATGGAACTATCGCTGTCAGTTCAGTCCTAGGCCTGCCCAGAGCTTTGTGTGCTCTCTCTCTGCAGAGGCGTCTCTATGTGCTGCCAAAGGTGGGGGGGAGGGGGGACAGGGTTCTGGCTGTCACACTCAGTCCTCGGTTGGTGATTAATTACTCTCGCTCTTTGTCTTTCTTCAAAGTATTGATTGGCTCCAGGAACACCCATTCCATTCCATTATCCGCTGAACTATTTCCATGGTATTTCTCAAAAGGCCAGTGCGGTCCTCCCCCCTGGTCATTGTAGTTCATCTTGTTAGTCTTAACTGCATCCGTACCAGGAGTCAGTTGTACATGCTCCAGCTAATACCAGTGATGGGGTTTCCAAGGTCGGAAGGGCATCAGTAATCCCAAGACATAACCTCACTGCAAAGTCTGCCTTTTGGACCATCTCTGGCATCAACTGCTTCCCCAGGGGGAGTCCGAGACAGCTATTTGCAACAAGAAGTTGACTGGGGCCTGCTGGGGCCTCCTTGTGAGCACGTTGAGGAGGCAGGATTGAGCTGAGAGAGCTGAGCTATGATGTGGTTCTACTAATGGCTTCAATCCTAATGGGAGGGATGGCTTCTCTGGAGCTGGGATGGACCTTCAGAGTTGTCCCAAATCACAGCAGGCTGACCAGGACTTTCCATCCCGATAGCCAACCACTAGTCATTGGCTGGGACACAGTCCTCTTTGACTGAAGAGAATCAGCCCCTGGGGTGGAAGAGTACAGACCCGGCTGAGACTCATCATCCATCGGCACTCCCAGAATGAGAGCTTGAACGCAGGAGCTTCTTGGGGTGGTACACCACAGCTCTCATCCAGAGGCAATCAGGGAAAAGAGGGGGGCTCTGGCACTCTCTAACGGAGTCGGAAGTGCCCAAGAGAGGGTGAGTGGGGGACCTGGAGGGGAGCTGAATCTTAGACTTATTTCTGGGCATTTCAGTCTCTTGGAGGAAGGAACATGAAATAGTTCAGAAACCTAATAATTTTATTTACTTTAGAGTGTGCCTACTTGCAGAAAAGAAACCTTGTTGGGACTATTAGACTGGATTTGAAGAACTACAGAATTAAAAGTTTTTAAACAAATGACTAGAATAAGAAACAATTTAACTCAACAAGGATTTAAGTTCTTACTGTCAGAAAGGATGGCTAGAGATAAATACAATCTCCAAGTTTTATGAGAATGAACAAAGAAACAGCAAGGTAATGGACCTTGGGCAATCTTTAATCAGGGAAATATTCAATTCTTTCAATGTATTAAGCTCCAAGACAAGAGAGATCTTAAAAATATTCACCCACTAAGTGAGGACACTTCTTGACATCTCGGGGAGGTAGCATACAACGAAGACTTTCAAATAATTAAACTCAAAACCAGTGGGGACTGGAAAAGCATTACCCTGTAAATGCAGTGTTTCTCAACCTTCCTAATGCCGTGACCCTTTAATACAGTTCCTCATGTTGTGGTGACCCCCAGCCATAAAATTATTTTCGTTACTTCATAACTGTAATTTTGCTAGTTATGAATCTTAATGTAAATATCTGATATGCAGAATATATTCATTGTTACAAATTGAACATAATTAAAGCATAGTGATTAATCACAAAACAATGTCGCTATATATTAAATATTTATTTCCAATTACAAATAAATTTTGCCTTGAAGCATGGTGTAGCATGGGTAAGTCTTCACAGCGGGTACTCGTAGGTGGACATATCTGCATGTGGGTGGACCTGCCTGGAGACAGAGGAGCAGTGTCTCGGTTCCTAAGGCCATTTTAATACGGTCTTAGGCGGCCCCTGTGAAAGGGTCGTGACCCCCAGGTTGAGAACCACTGCTATAGTGCAATCCTGACTTTACTTAAAGTATGTTTACTGTCAGGAGCCCCAGGGACACCATAGATTGAGTTGGGCTGCTGACACGGTCATCGGTTCAAACCCACTATGGACTCCGTAAGGAGAAACAGTTTGCTTTCCTATGTGGGAATTGACTTGACGGGTTTTTTATTTGTTCACTGTTATTTTCCTGGAGCTTCCTGCAAGTGTGATGAGTCTGGGTCCAGCACTATCTCACCAGCCTGACCTACAGATCCAGAAATCCGTGGGTCTGGCTCAGCCACTTCCAGGTGGATCTGATGTGAGTCAAGCCTGAAACCACTGGCTACGAGAACACAGTTTATGTACGTAAGTAGGAAAGTTGGCTAGTTGGCATGGCAACATGGTAGAATGTTTCCCGGCTGCTGAGATGATATATGAAGATGGCGAGAAAAATGAGTGTTACCTATGGTTTTCTGCTTGTTTTAAGAAAAAAATTGTATAAATGTGCTTGACACAATGGCTGTATATATGGATTGTGATAAGAGTTGTACAACCCCTAATAAAATGATTTTTTAAAAGAAAAAAAAGAAAATTGAAGGAGAAATAAAACCATGAGTTTATTCTCCAGGTTTCCCTAAGATATCCACAAACCTGTCTTGTTACGGCTGCTATCCCCAGGAGTACGGGAGTCTAAGATGTGCTTCTATCATACAGTTAACTTACTAAGAGGGTAACTATCATTTTAAAGATGACTTTTTTGATTTACAAGAAGCATGTAGAAATTGATTACAGAAACATTGACTAGCCTCTAAGAAACATACATTATCTTAAAATTCAAGGTCAAGTGTTAAGTGTAACCCAAACAACCCATGAAGGCCGACGGCCTCTTTGTGCTGTCAGCACAGTAAGCAAAGTGCTCCGGGATTAAGCCGTCTGTTCCCTGTGTTTAAAACTAACCTCCCCAGGATGCCAGCTCTGTCTCTTTTAAAATGATACACCACTCGCTTCTGGGCCTTGTGGCTAAGTTCATGCGTTTAAAGACCCTAAGACATTGGATAGAACTTGCAAGTCTGCCTGGTTAGCATTTGACAGAAGCACAAGAAATATAGGAACAGCTACCCAGGGCGAGGGAGGGTCAGTGACAACGGGGGCAGAGCACACACGGCGCTGGTTGGAAAGTTAACGGGGAAAAGCCCAACGAGAGGCAGTGGCTGACCCGCAGCACGTCGGGCCGAGCCGCCAGGTTTGGCGAATTGAGGAAGGTGACATACTGGCTTCAACAACTTGAGAAGGAAAAAAGTTTCATTTTCTAACCTTTTCATTCCAAGAAAATGAAAACCATGTCCTCCCTGTTACTGTGAACTTCTGGTGTTTCTGAGCCTGCCACATTTGGGGCTATTTTCTTTAAAAGGTAAGCGATAGCAGATGTGAATGCTATTAACACATTAAATGTCCAAAGAATAAAACTGGATTATGTTAACGCTCTGTGGCATTATTCACGATGACTCAGAGCACGCACATTACCAAGGTCCACAACTGTCTCCAGTCCCAGGATCATGAAATGGACAATCTAGTTATCCTTAAATGGAAACTGAATGATGGGAAACGGAGTTTCGAAAACGCTAACTTGGAGTCTGCACACCCCACACCTTTCATGTGGACTTTTGAAGAAAGCAGACCTCACACTTGCTTGGTTTGAATATCATTTGACATAACCTTCTGACAGTTTCATTTCATATTTTCTCTGAAACAAACCAAACTGAAAAATACTCCCAAAATATGCTTATATTGTCTCAGATGTTTCTGTGGACCATAGGGCTACTATTGATTGTTGTAATGTGAAACATTCCAAGACTCTACCTAATCTGCTACAAGTGTGGGGTGAAGCTTTGCACATTACCATGTTAACCATTTTAAACAGGTTTCTCACCTCCATGGAAAGGCACAAAGGTGTGTTTGTGTGTAGGGGGAAGGGCCTGTGCACTAAACTTAGTGTACTGCCTAAGGTAGTGGAGTTAGTTTTATTAAGAGATGGGTAAATAACTCAGAAGCTTGTTACAAGCTTACTCAAGTCCTAAAAAAGATGAATCCACACTAAAATTAAACCAAATGAGGGGGGAGAAAAATTCCCCCAAAACAGCCAAAAAACCTCCCTCCTACGCACCCCACCCCACTAAAACATGTTTTGTTTTGTTTTTTTTAAAAAAAGATCAATTTCAATTTCTTTACACTAACAGCCTGTGTCAACATGAGGCCACTGGTCCAGTTGGAGGAGGGTGCAAGGCTACCCAGGAGGGGGTGGGAGTGGAAATGACTGTGGTCAAAGCCAGTTTGCCTGGGGGCTAAAAATGGAGTTCCCAGCCTACAGATGGCTAGTGTGTCAGCCTAGAGACTCAGGCACCATAACAAAACAGACTCTTCCTAAATCACCCACTGCTGCAGACACTCAAATTGCTTTTTATTCTACCTCCTAATGGCAAGTTTCACGGTTTGTCAGGTCACAAGCTTCCTGGACTGCTGCGGGACAGAGGTGACAGAGAGCAACACGTGCACACACTGCTTTTATTAGATGATGGTTGTTAGCGCAATGAAAACAAATCATAGCTAAAAGTATCAAGTAGAAAAACATTTGGGTAAGGTATGACACATTTTTTTTGAGTCAGACAATAAAAAATTATTATATTCTTGCACCACCTGCCAATGCAAGAAGTTAAACAATGACTAAGTAAACTTAAAAGGTCAAAGAGGGCCCCAACCATATTCACTATCTTTTAAACTTTCAGACAAAGAAACTGAGAATAGAAGAAAACCCCAACATACACACCATGACAATAGTCTGTTTTTTCCTCTTTTTTTAATGACTTCCCATATTCACTCTTCCCTAAAAGCATGAGTGCACTGCGAACCTCATTGCAGATTGTGGATCATCTCCTCTTTGGCTATGAGGTGTGTAGTCTTGTTCACTAGCGACATCAATGAGTTCAGTTTCTGAGACCAGTCATTTAATAAATTATTTGGATCCTTGGGTCTCTGGAAGTTGATAATCCCTGCCAACCTGTCTACTTTCGCGAAGATGGTCTTGTTCACGACGAGATTTGAGAGAAAGGCCTCCGACTCCTGCAAGAGAGACACGGGATCAGACAAGATAAGGAACCACGGACAAGGAAGCACGTTCAAGGAGACCTTTCCTAACTTCTTTTTTTTTCTTTCAATTTTAGAACATTTTGTTCTTCTTTGTACTTATTGTTATTAGTGTAATTATTATTATTTTGATGTTTACTTTTATTTTATGAAATCATTTTATGGGGGGCTCGTACAGCTCTATCACAATCCATCCATCCATTGTGTCAAGCACATTTGTACATTTGTTGCCATCATCATTCTCAAAACATTTGCTTTCTACTTGAGCCCTTGATATCAGCTCACTTTTCCCCCTCCCTCCCCACTCCCCCCTCCTAACTTCTTAAAGTGGATGCTGAGCTAAAACTCACTATTCACCATTAGCAACTGTGTTTTCCTGTGATGCTGTATTCGTTTTCCTGTCAGCCTAGGTGGTGAACTGACACTGAGCTGAGCCTCTCAAGTGCAGGCGTCTGTGCCAAGACTGAAGGCATGCCTGCTGGTCTGGGGGAGAGCGAGCCTGTTCCAGTAGCGTCTCCTCGCTCGGCTACAAGGGGAGTAGGATACACCTCCGAACAGGCAGGGAAGTGTCTGACCACTGGTTTCCGGAAAAGCCAGGTTAGAATATATGCTCCAACTTGTTGTCCGTGAATGGACACTTCACTTCTAAGGACTCTGGTAATCTCACATCCGTAATGAGAAGAGCTAATGAGCTAACCAAGGACCAATCCCCTGAAAAGTCCACGCATCTTCTTTCTTAGGCAAGCTGGTCCAGCTCTTTCTGGCCACCGACGTGGCTTTGCTCACCATGACCACACACCCTGCTTCCTTTCATGTTGGACTTTCTGTCACCAAGAAACCGAGACCTGAGAACAATACGTAAGCCCCTGGGCTTGTCCAGGTGACCCGCAATCAAGTCTTTCTCACACTCTTTATTCAGGTAGCTCATTTCTGTGGGACTCACAAATACACATTGTACAAGAAGGGTCTTCAAGAAGTCTGTGGAAAACATAAGAGAATCAAACGTTCCCAGGAACCTTCTGAAACAATCTTGTGTAAAAATATTGGGTTTCAAGTTAACCAGTGTAAAACTAAAACAGCTTAGTGGCTAATGATTTTTTTTTTGGCTAATGATTTTCTAAAGCTAAGGGGACCACAGCTCTTCTTGATATGACTGAATTATAGAATTGTGTGATATGTGGATTAAGTGCCAATAAAGTTGTCTAAAAAAATTAATGAAAGAAGTCCCAAAGGAAAAGATATAATACAAAACAAAATAAAAGCAAACCACAAAAAAAAAAAAAAAAAAAAAAAAAGCTAAGCGGACTTGGAAAACTTCTATAACTCTAATAGAAATCAATTAACAAACAAGTTTCTCACTTAGCTTTGAGAAGCTGATTGGGACTAACAATGAGTGCTAGAGAGAGCCAAAGCAACACTGTGTACTACTTACATCCACAGAGAGATCCAGCAGCTGGGCCATCCTCTTCATGGTTATCCGGGTATAATATTTGGCCATTATTCTAATATTCTAGGGAGGACAAAAAACAGGAGCTGTCAATACGGCTGAAAAGCCAATTGTTTCATATCTAGACAGAGACACTTAAAATGTCAGACTTTTTTCTTCTCTACAGTCCACCTGAAGCTGGTTTTAAATTTCAGTAATAAAACAAGTAGTTTTGGTCTTTGCAGTTAAAACAAAAACAACCATGTTATTACATAACTTCTTTTAAATATATAGTCAAATCAAATACTTTTCATGGGTAAGCTCGTGGTTAAGACGCTTAAGAACATTAAACACTTCTGCTCAATGCAAAAAACTAAAGCTTTTCTAATTACAACACAAACGTGTAAAAGGCTAAAATCCAAAAATTGTTTGGAAATCATTTCAAAACACCCACCACTTTATTAATTTTTCCAATTAATTGCAGGTAACTACTGTCACTGAGTCGACAGTACCGGCTCACAGCGACACTAGACTGGGTAGAACTGCCCGTGGCTTTCCGCAACGGTTACTCTTTATGGGAGTAGAAAGCCTGCCTATTTCCCAAGGAGTGACTGGTGGTTTTGAACTGCTGACCTTGTGGTTAGCAGCCCAACTGCATGACCATTGGTGTTAAGATTAGTAATGAACCAACCCACTGATTCAGAGAAAGGGGGAAGGGTTAAAGAAAAGTGTTTATGAAGAAGCTGGACTCCCTGCGGTCTCTATTAGGGTCAATGGCAACACCAGTCTGATGGTCTTTCTAGAGCCCAACTTCTCCTCTAACCTTTATATCTAACCAATAGCCAAAGTCTACTGATTTACTTCCTTACAGTAATTCCGTTTCATTTACCCATCAAACACAGATAACCCCTCATTCAACGTTTTTTTTTTTTAGGGTGCCCTCTGAGTAGAGGGCTCAAAAAATTGTGTATCGCTTTCCTGGAAAGTGCCTGCTAAAAAGGAGAGCGTTTACACAACCAAAGATCTAGGAGCATTCCTTCAACTAGTTTTTTGTTTATGTTTCTCCAGTCATCTTCCACACTCCTCGCCTAAGGATCTTGGTACCATACCAAACATCATTATCTTCTCAGTTTTACAACTTGACTGCGGGGTATACAAAATGTGCACCCTTTTTACACGTCAGTTGCCCCTTCTCACTGAACCCTTTTTCTTGGCGCTCTCCAAGCCATACCCTGCCTTGTGCCCCTATGTCCCTGCTCCAAATACCCCCCCATGCGGCCGGACTGCCAATGTCTGCCTCATACTCGCACATCCCTCTGAAGCCGCACTGCACACATCAGTTCCCACGGCTCCAGCCCGACCCCTCTTCTCAGGCAGGACCCAGCGCCTCTCCTCTAGTCCGTCTATTCTACAGCACACTGTGCCACAGCTGTCCCTTGTATTATTTTTAAGCTTTGTGAAGACAGCGACCACGACTTCTTCACTCGTGGGTCCCAGCACTTTGCACTGGGCTGGCACAGAGGAGCCTCACCAGAAATGTGTGAGTGAATAAGAGAATGTTCACAAAATTCAGTATGCCGTAATATGAAGATCGAAGATCAAAGTTCAGGCCTGAGATAGGTTTGCTCCTTTCTGGACCAGACTAGCATGTGGGCATCAGAAAGCGTCCCCTACCATTGTCCCACATTCTTAGGAAATTCCTTCTGGTTTATATGCTATAAATCTTTGGATTTTGGGGAAGTCCTTTCAACATGAAGCATACTAAAACATACTTAACTTTTCTGAAGGCATGAAAGAGAAAAATTGAAAAAAATGGATGAGATAAATTCTGCTATGCTTTAGAGAATATATAACAAAATATCTGAATGACAAGTTTATATCACTTCTACACTGGGCATAGGAAATAAAAAAATTACTTTCATCTTCCAAGAGAAACATTTTATCAACTTGAAAAGTAAAAGGTTACGCTCAAATCTGTCCAAACTTAATTCAAAAAGCAGAATTCACTTAAAAACTGCTCTCTATGAGGTCAGATTCTTACATGTTCAACCACTCTGTTCTTCAAGTCTTTCCATCTTTTTTCACCTTCCTCTGTGGAGCTAAACACATCAGTTGCCGGACTCTCGCGAGAACCTTTTCTTAATTCCATGCCATAGTCCTCCACAAGTGTGGTCCAGCGCATCAACTCCATGGTGGTGAACAGCTTCAGAAGATCCCTGTGAATGGTAACAACATCCATACTCCAAATCGGTACACACTAAGCATCGCCTCAAAGAATAGCAAACCTGGTTTTCTTTTGGAGCATGATATATGTAATAAAACATCTGCTATTTCAACCATTTAAAAATAACAAATCTCAAAAATAAAAAAACCTGTTTCTATAAATTTTTATTTAGTAGAACAAGATATAAGTTGATTATTATTTTCCCAACATCGGTATCAATTTTTCCATAGTTTTGAATAGGTTTTAATCAAATGTAGATTTAATGACATTGATAAAGGGGGGGGGGCAGGGGACAGGACTTAAGATATAAGTCTACATTGTGCTTATTTACAATGAAACACATGGGCTTTATATGGTGGTTTTTCAGAAATGCGTATCTCCAGAAATCACAAAGCCCCAAGTTACTACTGAGAGAACTTAGCAGCCAATGATTTTCAAATGCTTAAACACCGATGCTAAAAACCAAACCCAAACCCATTGCCATCAAGTCAATCCCAGCGACCTGGATGGCGTTTCTGGGGAGGAAAATCTCTGCAGCAGCAGACAGCCTCATCTTTCCCTAAGAAGCAGCTAATGGGTCTGACCCTGTGGCTAGCAGTCCAGCGCTTACTCAACGCAGCCACCAGTTGCTAAAGTGGGCTTGACATAAAAAGTCTACTTGACAAAATGTGTAGAAAGAAGTGCTTTACCTCATGACATTAATTTCTAATACAATGCTAAAAAACATGTCACCATTTTATTACCTCCATGTTTTACTCTCTACCCCAGGTAGGCCTTTCTCCATGGTTCTATCGGCAACCAGGTAAGAGACGTACTCATACACTAACCAACTCTCTTTCCGAGGGTTGCGTCTGCCGAGACCCACGGTGTTGGTTGTGAAAGCACTTACTTGTACTTGGGGATTTCTTCTAACTTCTTGTCAGCACTTACTCGGTGCACCAGGTCTGACTGCTGGTTGTCGAACGGCGCCAGGATGACATAGAGAACCACGCTCTTCAGAGCCTGATAAAGGCAATGGCATGCGCAACAGTTACTTAGGATAAAAAGGGGAAGTGGAAGAAACTGGGGACAAGCACTCACTTTTAACTTTGTACTTAAAAGGTCCGAGAGTCACAAAACAAAACATGCCACATTGTTCTTTTTATCCTACCCGCTTACTAGTCTTAATAAATTACCACACTTTTAAAATTAATTTGAATGATCACCTGAGCTGACATTAATTTTTGATCAAATGTAGAAAGAGGAAAAAATTCTAACAAATGAACAATGTAGATGTGGAATATACCTAGAAGTTATTTAAAATTGCTGTAAATTGCCGGTGACTCGTGTTTTTGTGACAGTTTGAAAAGTCACACTGGGTCTCTATCTGAACCTTTATTAACCTTTATACTTTAAAACAAAAGCCCATCTTTTAAAAAGTGTTCCAGAGTTTATTTAGACTACAGTCCCAACCTGGATGACAGTGAGCAGAGAGTACCATGACACAATTAAACATCTGCTATCAACAGTCAATTCCCACGCAGAGTGACGCTATAGGACAAAGCAGAATGACCCCTTCGTGTTCCCAAGGCTGTAAATCTTCATGGGAGCAGAAAGCCTCAACTTTCTTGTGTAAAGTGGTTAGTAGGTTCAAACTGCTGACCTTGGGGTTAGCAGTCCAACATGTACTCTCCTACACCTAACTAGGGCTCCTTGTATATAATTTAAAAAACCGAGAAACAAATGCACTGCCACTGAGTCAATTCTGACTCAAAGCGGTGCTATCGGACAGGGTAGAACTGTCCCAGTGGGTTTCAGAGACGGCCCCTCTAAAGGAGTGGAAAGCCTGACCTTCCCTGCCCAGAGCAACTGGGCTGCAGGTAGCAGCCCAGCATGGAACCGCTAAGGCTCCAAGGCTCCTTGTATATAATTACAGAAGTTAAAGTAATCAAAACCTTCGTACTAAGTGTCAATGCCAACAATCAGACTCACTCACCTGCTGCCACTTCTCGCTTTCTGCCTGTATGCAGGGAGTGTCATAAATTGCTCTGTAGTGTTTACAGATAGACAAGTAAGAGCCTTCATGTTGATCCAGCTGAATCATTAAGTTATAATACTTCAACTTTAATTTCTGGAGGGGAAAGAAAAGGTGAACAGGAGAAAATATGCTAGACAGATTTTTAATTTTAATGCTTTTCAAGGAAGCATCATCAGAGCCATCCTTACCTCTGTGTTTTCTTCCTGGAAAAACTTGGTGTTAATTTTCTTGCTGATGATTTGTGTCCGGATGTAATCCTTCACAGCAAGGCAGAGCCGCATCTGCTCCAAGATAAACTCCACTCGCTCTTTCTTTTCCATTGACCCGTACGTTTCCACCTAGTGGAGAAATTGCCCAAAGACGTTTACAAGGGCCAGTGATTTCTTAGAGCTGTCACCAAATTAAGTAATGACAAAATCTTCAACCACAACAAAGAATAAGGATCTCCAGGGTCCACTGAGAATCTGGGTTTTGCAAAAAAACGTACAGTTAAAATATCAGTGGTCACCAGGAAGAGGTGGGAAGAGGAGGAATATTTAAAAACTCATTGCCAACAAGTAGATTACAACTCAGAGAATAGTGCAGAATAGCTCATCTTTCTTCCTGGGAGCAGCTGGTGGCCTGGTGCTCAACCCACTGCAATACCAGCCACCCCCTTAAGAAGCCTACATATTTCAAAGGGGAGGGGTGAGTGGAAAGGGACAATGCCTGTTCACAGTAATAGTATTTCCCCTGTTCCTGTAGCTAGTGGGTGAGGCAGAGGACTGAAACGAGAGGTCATCAATTTAGCTGACAGGGCCCGGGACAGGTGCCAGGAAGAGTGTCTGTGTTCTCTAGAATCATAGGCAAAACTTTCAGCAGAGTCCCTGTGTCTGTCTGTCCGGTGAGAAAGTACCCAGCTTTCCTCAGATTTCTCAGCCCTTTGCTGTCTGATGTGCAGGCCTCTCTTAAAGCTCACCCTGAAATGTGGCAACTTAAGGGGTCATTTGTCTGTTAGAGCATGTTAGTCCGTAATCGACCACCAAGCTGATACTCATTAAGAATGAAGTCAATGATGAACAGCACAGTCCTAAAGCAGATATCTAGTACACCAGAGTCTATTTTACTTAGACTTTAAAGAGAATGAAAATGTGCAAATAATAATACAAAATCAAGACGCATGTGTGGATCCCATCAGCTTTTCCAGCCGTTCCATTTCGCTGGAGGGTAATTACACCACTTGTTACAGAGACTTCCTCGGAAAGCTAGCAATCCAGACTCACGCCCTGCGTCGTCGCGTGGACTCACAGCAATGCTACAGGGTGGGGCGGGGCAGGACTGTTCCAAGGCCTGTGGTGCGCACACACTTAGTCTGAGAGGCTTATTTTCAAAAAATCAACAAGACTCCAAAATAAGAGAGGGAGAAAAAAAAGACCCCAAAGGAAGCTGCTGCCACGGCACCCCAGCCGACCGAGTCTGAGGTCCTCGCGCCGAGTGCAGCAGCGGCACGTACCTGCAGCTCTTGTAAGATGGAGGCGGCCTCCTTCACGTCACCACTTTCCTCTTTTATGGTTGCCAGTGTCTTGGTCAGGCGCGCCCGCTCGATTTCCACATAAATCTATACATAAGAGAGACGGGCGTGGTGAAAATGCGTGTGGACAGGCACTAAAACGAAAGGGCAGAATTGCGCGATCACTCAGCACCTGGGAGACAGCAGCTCATCTTGCAGCTCCTGGGGTTGGATCCTGCCACACACACAGCTGTGAGCTGTTTTATAAACATAACCGTACTTTTAAGAAAATGTCTCTATTTTTACACTTTTGTTTTTAAAACATGAAGAGAATATGGCTGTGCTATGTACTGAAACTCACAAAGATGGCTGCAGCAGTAAGTCAGTGCGTTCACAGTGTCCAGCAAACGGAGAGGAAAGGACTGGAGTCCAAGAGCCCGGTTTCCATGCTCACTTGGGGGCTCACTCTCCACGCTGCTCGGCAGCACTCGCTCCTCACCCCACCCGCAGCCGCAGGGGCCTTCACACCGACAGCTCCCTAAGCTAGTGAGGAATGAAGGATGGCGAGACCTGGTCTGCTTCCTTGGGCCGCTGGCTAGAGAATGGCATCCTGTTTGGTGGTGGAGAGGAAACGAGGAAGATCCTAATAAAACAGGCTGACACAACAGTGGGCGCAGATAGGGCAATGAGTGTGGGGGTGTTAAATGTTGTTTCTGTGAGTTGGAGCCAACTCAATGGCACCCGATAACGATGAGTCTAAAATGCCCCTCTCTTCCCCCTCAGGCCCCGTCGATTTTCTATGGATCCTTAAAAAGCCAGCTCTTTCAAGCTTGCCCGGGCACCTCAGCCAGCCGATCCCTACTTTGTGCTACCTGGGACCGCGGCACAGTGCACACAGACTGCGCACGCCTACGATCGGCCTCATCTCCAGCTACACTGGCGCTTTTGAAGGGAAGAATTCTTGCTCACTGTGGGACTGGCACAACACAGGAGCTTAAGACACGTTTACTTAACTGAACGGAGAGTCAAATAGACAGCAACCAAGCACAAGTTCCTGCCTCAAACCATAAAACCCATCTAGAAAGAAGCCTACCTACCACGGTCACCGTTTCACTTCCGTCCTTTTAAAGAAAACAATTGAGGGAAGAGAAAATATGGGATTACAAGAAAAAAAAAAAAAAAGAAATACAGACTTTGCAAATCCACAGTGACTATTATGCTCACATTGCAAATCTGAATTGATTCCATTATTAGTTAAACTTTGCTAATGCCCAAAGTACCTTTTTTTCCCCTTTCTAATTATCCACAGGATTTCTATGGATCACCACGTTAGCACCTTGACTATCCTTGGACATTTGAGGCTGAAACTTGTCATTGAAAACCGAAAAAGCTAAAGCTCCAGCACCAAATTTTGAACCAGGCTGACTGGGCATATTTAGACTAATACTCAGAACATGCAGGTAGTCCAGCGTGGCATTTCTTAATGTTGGTCAATAACTTCGAAGCTCAAGATCAAAGTCAATTCCCAGCCAGGTATCTCAAGGCCCAAGCCCCAGTCCACGGAAAGGCCACCTTATGCTTACCACTAAAGGTTGCTGCGGAGGCTCCATGCCCAGAGGTGGGCAGCACACAGGCAGAGTAAGTGCCAGGACAGGCGCCATGTCGCTCGCGGTTAAAAGGGCCGCCCGCAGAGGCTTGGTGGCCCCAGTTATGCGCCAGCACCTGCTCTGGCGCTGCAGCTTAACCCCCTGCGCCACGGGCCGGCGCAGCGGGTTCAAAGGCAGCGCCCCAAAATACTTTCAAGCAGATCTAGGCCAAGGTAGAGAGTTAGTCTGATCTTTAATTCATGATTATCATATGTAGACTGGAGATAAGATCATGAACTCCTATAAAAAAAATTGGGTCACAGACTACCATATTTAAGTAGATTCATTTGCCTATGGGAGGATGCTACATGGACATGATTGATTCAATTAAGCGATATGTGTATTTCTTCTCAACTGTATGCTTGTATATACATATTTACAAAAGGGGTTTTAAAAGTTAGTTGAAAAATTCCATTATCTTTTAATTACGTTTAAACACAAACTTTCTAAAGCTCCTTCATGTATGCATATATACACACCACATACAGACACAAGGTGTGTGCGTGTACATGTATACATATATCTATATTAAGACAATGTATTTTGATTATGCCAGCAGGAGGCTTACCTTTCCCTCTGTAACCATTCGTAGAGTATCAATTAATTGAAGTTTTGTTGGGAGGTCTGTGATTTCCTCAACATAAGTACAGCACTGTTGAACCATTTTTGCAACAGCCTACAATAATGAAAACAGTTCATAAGTTAAAAAAAATTCATTTCTTCTTAAAAAAAAAAAAGAGTTAAGGCTATTTTGACAAAAATGCCATCTTCAAGTTTGGTTTTCCCAAGCAACGCCATTTTTAAATTAATTTATTTTTTTTAATCGTTTTATTAGGGACTCATATGACTCTTATCACAATCCATACATACATCAATTGTGTAAAGCACATTTGTACATTCATTGCCCTCGTCATTCTCAAATCATTTGCTCTCCACTTAAGCCCCT